CAATTTACGCTTATCAAACTAAATTAAACATTGGAGAATTATATCATTCTGAATAACGGTAAATTTTAAAAATAAATTCGTTAGGATTAAATACATTATACATCACAAGAAAATATGCCAGGGTATTGGTCAATCTTCCATAGATCAGTGGTACCACTGTGGCTTGCAGCATGCTACTCTGAACAGAGGCGAGATCACTCGCACCTGTTTATGTAGTTGTGGGTGTATGCAAGTAATAATGATATACAAGAACATAATTATCTTTTCAAATGGACGGCACTCTAAAGGAAAGAAAAATGGGGCTAATCGTCAACTCAATTCAGACTAGGTCATTTTGGATCTGATATATTGCATATAGGGAGGAAACCAGAGGAACCGGAGAAAACCAAAGAGGTTACTCCTTGCCCCGTACAAACTGAGAATCGAAACCATGTCACTTGACTGAATGATAGATTGTTAAATCATTCGGCCACCCCACACTCTACAGGACGAGGACCCTTGCTTGAAATCTTCGCAGACAAATATCAAGCCTCTAAATCAATTCAGGACGTTAAATCCCATTTAATTTCATTCATAATGCCTTACCTGTCGCTGACTTTATAACTGTAGCTACCGCTCTTAGCGTCATCTGCATATTGAACTCCGGAACAGGAAGTACATATCCAGCTGCTGTCACTTTCAAAATCTGGATTTTCGAGTAGGTTTGTTTGTGCTAATAACGCTGGCAATAAAGCCGCTAGTAGCAAGACGTTTGATGAAACGGACATTCTCGAAAAGTTGATGTGGAGTTTTGATTGTATTGGACCGCATTGTATATATAACCTATAGGCGACACGGTTCATTGACAGTGGCGACAAGGTTCAGTTGTTGTTTATAAATATTTTGTATAACTCTTCTTTACTCGGTAAACTGACTATATACTTAAACATACATTATGCAAGAGCTAAATCTGATTATTGCTAGTCTTTATATAGGCTTCAGATGTCATAGAAATTATAAATTAGATCTTTATGTTACACAACAAGCACAAAATCAACCCTGTAGACCCACGGGTAGCTTGAATTCAGCTTGGATTTAAACGTGATTTCGTTGACTGATTTAATTTTAAATGGCGTCGTGAGCGGAGATTAACCGTTACGTTGACGTCATACTCCCGGATCGAGGCTAAATGATAGAGTGTACGAAGCGAGGCCGCTGTTGAGCGATGCCTTAACAAATGACATCTAAACTATTTAAAGTGCAATAAACTAAACACAGATAATGACAAATTATAAAATTCCTGGAGACCGTGTGATGACTAATACAGACGGACAGGTCTTCTGTCTTAATAATATCAATAAAAATATTTTTATTTCCCCAATAGGCACGACGCCACTGCAGTGTATACCTATAGATTTATCATAATTGTATTATAATAGTATGTCCAAGATTCAATTGATTTAATGCATGCCCAAAATACAAGTAAGAATGAAAATTTACCCTCTCACTCATTTTATAAAAATCCAAAAAGGTAAAACACAAATTCGGATATGATGACAGCAGACAAACGACAGCAGAGATTATGTAGGTGGAGTTAACGCCTGTCAATCAAACGATCGGCCATACTAAGAATCGGTGAAGATGGAATTCAATCCCATTTCTAGTCAAAAATTACACTGGTGATAACTATGTTCAGAATAAAGTAATTTGACGGATATTTTCAATATATTCTTTTTTCATCATCTATTTTGAACTGTTATAGCAAGAATGGCTAACTCCTTATAAAAATCTCCCATAATGTATCTTTAACTTATGGGCTTTAAAGGGCGCATAGCAATATTCTTTGTCACATGTTAATGTAATATAAGTGTATATAAATGATTTACGAGATAAATATTACCCTAACCGAGGGTAATATTTGTCTTACACACCGACATCAATGTTAAATCTATCCTAATTGAGATCACCTCTAAGACAATGGTTTGGCTCATATCGGCCCTGCGACTGATATGACAAAATTAAGAAAACGCAAGTCGTAAATTGCACGTACATTACATTTTAGTTACCACGTGTTCTCAAAATGGCATTCATTTTGTGCAATGTTGTCAAACGCTCCGGACGACGAAATGATGCGCGCAAGTCAGTTTGTAGAAAATATGGATGAAAAAGAAAACGTAGATTCTGACGAAGAATTGTTTAAAGCTAGTCAAAGTGCAGAATTGATGCAGAAAAAATGTACTCAGATATTTCGGATTGTGAGGAAGATACAGATGATACACGCTTTTCAATTTCGAGTGACAAGACGTCAGTGAATGTGCCAACAATGCCTGCCCAAAAATCAGTGGGCTGTGAACTTTTTAAACAGTTGATCAATGCGGCGGAATAATAAACGCGATAGTGAGCGAAAAATCCGGTGTGCTCTGGCAGATATGAGTATATAAGATCTTATGTTTTGGATGTTTAGATTCGTCTTGGAAGTAAGCAATATAAAATTATGAATATTACCCACCGAATTCCGTATTTCGTTATGGGATGGGAATAGTTTCACATTTACGGATTACAAATAAAACTGACGTGGATATACTTACACAATCCAGAATTTGAGTTTCAGACAAATTCTTGATGGTCAGATTAAGAAACTAAGTAACGTGGGCCTGGCATGGTTCGTCGTCCTAATCGTGTGACAACATTGTACAATAAGTGAATAAAATATTAAAAGAAAGAATTTGTGTCCTTTTTCTTTGCGGAGTCCGTAAACCTGTTGTGACGTCATCAGAGGGTGATATCTGATATCGTCCTGATTACGTCACAACAGGTTGATACGTTTCATAACATGCATGGGAGATCAAAGGAAATTACATCCCAAGATGTGTAAATTCAATTATTTTATTTTATTTTAAAGATTATTTTGTCGTTTGAGAATCAGAAATTTTTGTCCCTCGCCTTTCGAAGAAAGCAAGGGAGTATTAAAATGGGTTCGTCTGTCCGTCCGTCTGTCTGTCTGTCTGTCTGACAGGGTAAGAAAAGATAAGCAATTTAATTCGTTGATGCTTTGGGACACGATAACTTTAGAACACAATAACCCTCATTCTAATTGGGCTAGAATGTCAACACTTGTCGTAGGTGCTTTGAGACACGATAACATTAGTTCTAATTAAGTGAGAGTGAGGACACTTGGTGTATAGTTTTATCACATCAATACCTTGACTAAGTTCGATAGTGAGCATTTTCTGTTCATGGTAAGCAGAGCGATAATTTGAAGCACAATAACTGTCTTTCTAATTGAGGTGGAATGTTTAAACTTGGTGTAGGCGTTCATTAGGTGAACGCCTTGATGGAGTTCGGTGATAAACATTGTCTGCTTACGGTAAGTAGAGATAAGCAACCTGATTGGTTGATGCTTTGGGGCATGATAACTTTGTTTTTAATTAAGTGAGAGTGATAAAACTCCGAGTATAGATTCATTACATCATTACGTTGACTAAGTGAGATGGTGAGAATTTTCTGCTTAGGCTAAGGAGCGATAAGCAATTTGATTGGTCAAAACTTTGGAACATAACAACTCTGCTTTTAATTGAGGTAGAATGTTTAAACTTGATGTAGATGTTCATTGGTGATAATCACTTTGCTTGATACTTTTGAAAAAAATAAATGTGCGATTAATTAATATGAGTCATCTATTTATTTTGGGATTTCGGCTGGGGACATCAACCTCTCTGTTGGATTGTTAATTACTTCCGCATTATCTTCTCGGATATGTTATTCTTTATCCATAACAAATGACACTCGAACCCATTATATCAATTGAATTATAATTAATGTATCTTAATAGTGTGAATAATATTGAGTTGGATGTTTACCTCTTTGAATGTAGACTCTTAATCCATGTACATATTATGTGTAATATTGAGTTAGGGGTTTAGATCCTTTAATTTCTGACGTTTTCGACACTTAATCATAGTATATATTATTCATAATATTGAATTGGGGGCTTAGCTACTTTAATGCATGACGTTGTCGACACTTAATCCATGTAAATATTATGAATAATATTGAGTTGGAGGCTTAGCTCCTTTAATGCTTGACGTTGTCGATACTGAATTCATGTAAATAAGTTATCTAATGTTTTAAGAATTAGCTCTGCTATCTTGTCTAACCGTCAGCGTTCCAAAACGCCACTCACCCGTACAAACTGATCATGTGCATGATTTTATAGTCATAATATGTTATTCTACAAAATAACGTACCTTCATAAATATTGTTATTTGTGACATTACCTTGTGTTTCGTGTTCACATTGGTAAATATTTGGAGATGTATTTACGGGACATTTTTAAGCTTACTGCTTAGATATTTTTTATGTCTCAGAACAGGTAATTAAAGTTCAATGACCGGATAATGTCCCTTAGACTAGGCGTCGCAGATTCGGTATGTTCGCTGTTCCCAATCTTCCCAAATACCGGACACAACTTGACCGACAGTGCTGGATTTGACTGAGGCTTGGGACTTTACGATCTAGGGAACCTCCAGCAAGGTGTATAATATTTTAGGTATTTGCTATAGGCCTGTACGCGCTCTGTAGTCTTAAACATCCGCCATCATCATGGGTTTTGCTTAAAGATACATTCTCGGGTACAAACCTTCGGCGTCACGCGTGCAGACACTCCTAATCGCCGGGCTGTCGATTAGGGAAACAATATATTCAGGGAATCCAGTATTATTCTAGTAAGATTGGATATTTCTTCTTTCCATATATACCAAAATTGCCATACTTTTATTGGAAATAACCACCCGATAAATACTTTTCTGGGGACGTAGCTTGAAGCGAGTTGGTTGACTATACTATAGCGATGGAATACTGAGCTTAAATTCTTACAATCATCTACTTCCAGACATATTATTATATCTTTAAATAACATAGCCAACCACGAGGCATCAACACTCGCACCCCTTTTCAATATAACCACCCAATACAACACACACACACCCTTTCAACATAACCACCCAAAATAACAGAAGATGTTTGATTCTCTTGTTTTTATTGATTGTTGTTAGTTTTAGCATACAACCATTCAAGATGTTCAGCCAATAAGAACATGGTCTACGTGTGGATTAGAGCCTGTAATAGAAAGATTATATTATTGTAAGTTCATCCCAGGGGAATGCATTGCTGCATATCTATTTAATTGCATCTATCATATACATAATTATATGGGATTGGCCTCCCAATTTTAGGCACTGGACCATCCTCGTATCTCGGAAAAGCCCTCTCAAACACCTGATCAACACTCATAATCGAAATCGACGCATGTAAACTGCGCTAGAAAAACTGGGTTTCACCAATTCTCCCCTCGGGTGGACTAATACTCGGGTTACCAATCTCAGCGCATGCGCCAAACGTGGCACATTGGATGATTAGAAGTGTTACATATTGCATTCCTGTAATAATAATAATAACCTTACTTATTAGTTCTAACGATTTTATGATTTCGTGCACATCCCTTTCTAGCGAATGCCATCGTCTTTAATATCATATTAATCTGTGTTCAGTTAAAACTATGCTTAATGAATCAAGCCAACCATATTTTTACTAGAAGTAGACGGGGGTAAACTAATTTGATAGCTCATCTGAACAAATTGACGCACGATATGCAACAGTTTTGCCATCCCTGCGATATCACCCTAGGTGAAAGCAAACATTAAGCCCGACATATTGGACTAACTCAATGGATGTAAATAAATGAATCGGGTACCGAGTAATTCAAATACTTACCAGAACCACTAAGATTAATCTTTAAATTGTTTCCATTTCCTCCCAAGCTAAAGTTTTGAGTATGAATCACATGACCATTATGACGTACCAATAATTTATAAGAACCTTTAAATGCTCGAATGTGAACGGTTTGACCATGACCTGTATTGTAAATAAAGCACCATCTGAATGCTGAATTCTTTATTCGTGTAGTCTACTGACTCATCAGATAACATATATACACGATGTACAGTTACATACAAACAATATATACATGATATTACAGTTACATACAAACAATATATACATGATATTACAGTTACATACAAACAATGTACAGCCAATATATACATATAACAGTTACATACAAAACAATATATATATAACAGTTACATACAAACCCCTCAAAAATAATAAAAATAAAATTAATAAAAAAATAATAATTTATAATTTTAAAACCACATAGAAATATACTGACCAATATTGTGACTTTCGTTGGTTCTCCAGGTTCGTTTCAACAGTTCCTGAACTTTTCGTCCAGCTGCATTCGGCTGTAACAAAATCCAGTATATTGTATAGCTAACAATGCTCGCAGATCTAACGCTGGGGAGAGAGGACGACACAGAGAGAGAGAGAGAGAGAGAGAGAGAGGGGGGGTTATCAATGGAAGAAAACGCAAGATCCGGAGAAACCCTCGAGTCTGGGCAGGTAACCATATTCATTGTCACGAACATGCGGGGAATATAAACCACGTCCTTGGACTCGGTGATATACTGTATGATCCAAAGCACACATGTTAAACCCTATACACCCCCCCCCCCCCCCCACACACACACACACACACAGCCCACCAACAGTGGTGTGCATTATTCAATAGTCACGGTTTTAACATCTTAGCGACATAACAACTACATAATGACTGTCTTCTGATTAATAGCCGTATTAACCGACTAGTAAACATTATTCATAAAAAATAAGTCTTGGATCTGTCTGTGACAAGATATGTTCATATATTCTTATGTAAAAGTCATTCTTCAGACCCGAAGACATCTAAGCGAGGGTATTTATAATCCCGGCCTTCGTCCAAAAGGTCAAGGCTAAACCGAATAGTCTTTCGTATAGGAGATGACCCACCTACTCTTCTCATGACCTTGAATGTTAACACCGTGTTTTAAATTGACATTTACATATCCAAGAACTTTGTTTATGCCTTTACTTCCCTTTTTATGCCTCCTTCATATGTAAATAATCTCAATTTAAATCAACCTGTTCATAATATCGTGTGAAATGTATTAGACATTAAAATTGTAGTAAACAACAAAAACATACCCACTGGTACACAGACAATTAGGGTGAATCATAAGGACGATACTTCCACTTACCGTGACATTGTTTCCGTTAGCAAGAGCGGCTTGAGGTCGCCAATGTCTGCCATCCCAGAATCCCCAGAACATAACTCCTTTAACTGCTGGGTGACTGAAGTATAATCTCATGAGATCTTCGTATTTCTGAGCCTTTTTATGTTCATCTGGTTCGGAAATATCCAACTCTGTGATCCAGATGGGTAAACCAACGGTAGCAATTTCATCTAATCGACGCTGAAAAAGTTATAGCCGTTTGTGGGTGTCGTGTCCCTTTGAAATGAAATGAAATGAAATGGAGTTTAACGTCCTACTCTTCTGCACCTAACCTGGGCTAATTGAAGACGGGCATACGCCATACAGTGTGCTATGAGGGAAATTTTGCCCGGGCTGCGGCGCTACGGCCTACTCTTATATCGAATTCCAACTGCCAAGGGATCTTTTACGTGCACGCCAATGTGTACACGGGACCTCGGTTTTTCGTCCCATCCGAACGACTAGGCAGCTGTCCTTGTCAGGCCCTCCGTTCTGCATCACTGACAAGGGGAAACCACGCCGGAAAATCGAGATGAACTTTCTCGGCCAATGCAGGGATCGAACAGTGTCCCTTTGAACTAGTCTTGTATGTGGATGTCGTGTCCCTTTAACCGTCGTACATAGCATTTTACCCGTGTTTGAATAATCGCGTAACACATTAGAAACTTGATCATAAAGGTTTTTGATAACTATTTCTACAACCTTGGGAACGCAATCTTTGTAAATACACTCACATTTCGTGATTTCCTGACGTTATATTTCGTGACATTTACACCCCCGCCCCCAATTAGATCTGACAGCATACACATGACTTTTTGCGCAAAAACACCTGGTCAGTCTACGACACACGAATAAAAGCTTGGAACTAAAAGCGTTTGAACATTTTAACAAGTGAAAACGTTGTTACTTAGCATTATTATTATTATGTTAGTATTGTAGTATTTTATCGTATGTGATAGTATTATTGTAATAAGTGGATACTTGATGTACTTACTTTGACACTAGAGACGTCCACGTAAGCTCCAAAATGACTCTGGATACCCATTCCACCAAGAGGAACACCAGATGCTTTAAACCAATAAGCTTGATCTACGTAAGCCTTGAGATATATAATTTGACAATTTACACATTAAAGTGGTATAGCGACATGTGTTATAGTAAACATGTTTTTCGTATAGACAGCTGAAACTATTTTGCTACTGTAACGTTGTTCCATTGAAATGAAATGAAAAGGGGTCAAACCCGCGACCGGTCTAATGAAGTCGGGCATACAGTGTGTTATCAGTTAAGCAAAAAAAAACAACAGCTCTTTCAAATAGTTTACACCGTTTTGCATGTATACCTAATCATTATCATTTAAACGAAATAAAACAGCTTTTTGTAATAATTTATATCGTTTTGCTTTCATACCTACCATTGTTGAACCACTGCTAGCTATGATATTATAGTCATTTAAATAACACTTTGCCGATGGGTCCAACTTTTTGGTTTCTCTGAACATCCATTGTGTTATATACTGATCATGCAGTTTATCTTCGTAGAAATGAAGATGGAGGTTTTCGTTGTTCACATCCCAGTGTCTAAATCTGAAATCAATTGAGTGGATGGGAAATGAAATGAAATGGAATGGATTTTAACGTCCTACTTTTTGCAGAGACTTGGCAAATGAACACGGGCATACGCCATAATAATGCGTTATTGTTTACTCTTGTTTCGAATTCCAACCTTTACCTAAAGGCCAATGTACAAACGGTACCTATGGTATTCGTCCTATCCGAACGATTAGACAATGCTCATGGTCACTCACGCCCTCCGCCCTACAGCATTGTAAAGGGGGGGGGGGGGAACTACGCTGGAAACGAACCAGAGACCTCCTGGCTAGCGAATTAGTGTCTTACTCCCAGATTAATTGGAGATGGTATAAATACTGGTATTTAATGACATATAAGAAATTATGTCGTCCGCTCTGCATCTACCATTATTTAAGTGAACTATAAAAGGTATAAATACGATTAAAATGGGTACATACTTTCCCTTGAAATGACCAACCATACCCTGGATGTGTTTCTCTAGCTCTGGTCTCAGTTGAGATCCGGACATAGATTTCTGCCAGTTGGGGACGAAATCACCTCCCCAGAATATGTTATGCCCCCTCATGATAATGCTGAAACAACAAAATAAAAAAGTCAATAAAAACACTTCTTCAAGGTAACAAATTATCACTTTGTGTGCAAATTATTTATAATATTTCAAATTTAATATTTCAATACCATTGTGTGTGTCCATCTACGAGCTTGCTCCATATATTGGTTGAAGTATTTTCCTGGTACTGGGAATAGCCTATTATTATATAACTATTTTCATATCAGTTAGAAACTAAATAACATATTTACCTTAAAGCAGCATGTTCTGATCTGATATAAGACTACATACCCTTTTGATTCCATCGACTTGACAGCACGAAGAGGAGTGTCATAGTTATAATTGCCCTGAAATACGGTGAAAATAATGATATGCTATGACCAGGAGCAATGATTCCTTCATAACCGTCGGTGACGTGGTGGCTACTCGATTGAACGTTCAGGAATTAAATTCTTTCAATTCCAAAAATAGTGTCAATGGAGTGAAAAGAAGCATTTCGGAGTACAGCGCATGTGCCGACTACATACATATATAGACCAATTATGACAATTGAAACATTTTGTTACTTAAAATACGTCGCGATTCTACACACACAACCTCAGCAGTCGGGACTGGCAGAACTGTGACAGGACTGAATTCCATATCACTTGATTACAATTCTGTCAATTCGAGACGTTCCGAACTGACAATCGAGCACTCCCCTAGTCGTGGTTGTGGTGGTCATTATATCCAGATTTAATATAAGGGGTTGGGGATTATAATCTTAAAAAGACATTCAGAAAGAAACTCCCTGAAAAGATACGATTAACCAGTATCCATGGCATATACAGGGGAGATCAGTCTCGCGAAGCTGGAATCAGACCACTATTTACATGTTATTGTTATGAATGTCCTTGTATACACTGTGTTGGTAGTTGTACCGATTTCATATTATTAGACTGAATTTCGTTTAAATTCAAGGCTACATTGGCATATAATCATACTGCGACTGACAATTGTCTTGTCTTAATAATGTGACGAATTATTGAAGAAAGCCTTACTTTAGATCCCTCGATAGCTCCCCATTTCATGGCATTTTCCAGAACAGCCCATTCAAAGATATCTTAGAAGAAGTTTTGATATGCTTTTTTGTTTCCATCGACGATCATATTAGCATCGACGGCGGAACCCCAGCCAAATTCACTCTTAGTTTGTTGAATCTAATTAAATAAAAAGATAAATAGTTTAGAATAATGGGGCTTAACATCATATACTTTTCGATATAATGCATCAATTGTGTGGAATACACTTTCAGAAAATATCCGACAATACGATTCTGTGTTAGTCATTAAATCCAAAGTGAAAACTTGCTTATTTAGACACTATCATTAACACCCCAAAGTCAGTGGCGGCGCCAGCCGTCGGTGATTGGAGGGGCAAAGCTGGGGCAAAGTCCAAGGTTAAGGGGGCAAAGGCACGAACTTCAACTAGGGGTAGGGGGCCTCCCTCAGAAAATTTTGAAAAACAAGTTGCCGGAAATGCAGCCTGGCAGTATTTCAGGCACTGATCAATGAGGTAAAGTGTCAAACGAACGGACTTGCGAATCACGACGAAGCCCACTCACGAGCGTCAAAGTAGGGAGTCCTCCCCCAGAAAATTTTGAAAAATAGACTGCCGGAAATGCTGTCTTACAGTATTCCCAGGCACCGATCGTCGAGATAAATAGATCTGACCAGATACCGTCCGTTGCCTGATCACTAGTTTATCCGACTAGAGAAGAAAATGTCAAACGAACGGACTTACGAACCTCAACGAATTCCCCTTGTGAGCGCCAAAGTAGCGAGTCCATTGGGGACCTCGCCAAGAAAATTTTGAAAAATAGACAGTCGGAAATGCTCTACAACATGCAAGTTTATGACTGAGTGGGGATGTGGGATTTATTCACCGTAGAAGGTATTGATTACCGAAACGTATCACAAATACTTTTTTTTATTTTCTAAAATTATTGTGGGGGGGGGGCAAACAGAGGGCAGACCAGATTAATGGGTGGGGGGGGCAAATGCCCCCCCTTGTCCCCCCCCCTCCCTGGCGCCGCCACTGCCCAAAGTGAGAACATTTTCTAGCGCCTAGTGCATTCCCTAGTGGATAAAATAGTTACGCGATACAAATATTATTATTATTATTCTTGTTTGAACCAACTTGGCTAGTCAAGACGGGGATATGCCATACAGATGAGTAAAATGTATTTCGAAACCGTGTTAGAATTAATATATAATATTCTTATAAAGGTAACAACACTACTAGACGAACACACTCGTGTCCACGCTAACTTACGTGTTCACACTAACATAAGTGTGCACACTAACAATAAACAATACAAACAAAATCCTGACCATTCATTTTGTAAACAGTTTCAAGCTGAGCTTTGTCATACATTGTGGTGATTTGGAACGTTGTTACGGCCTCCGTGGTGACTCGATCATAACTCTACGCAATGCAATTGTGGAAATATTGTCGGTGCGTGACTAAGTTCATAATGAAGGATAGCCAAATCACAATCCGTTCACAGAATAGGCTGGGTTGCTTCCACGTAACTTGGTCAGTTCGGTTTTCTGTTTTTAGAAGATAACCCTGAACCAATAAGTTTGACAATTACCTCAACTTGAAGTCCAGACGGGTTGGCACTGCCAGTCAAGCTTTAAAACAAATAGACATTTTATTTACAACTATCATTAGATTAAATAACGTAGCATCGATAAAAGGATTTTGGCAGCCAGACGCGTTCCCCAGTCTACGCTAGAATTATTTACTGTTACTCATCGTATTCCCCTTTGATTTTAAGAGCTGTATTATCAAAGCCGTACCTTGAGAATGTACATATATCTGTACGCATTAGTCACAAGGTCATTCTTTCACATCAGAAATAATAGTGCGGTGCAAGCCTAATTAAAATCTTAGATCCCCTCCCGCTCTAGCCTCAAGCTTAGTCACACCACAGCAATTAAATAGTGCGGACATTAGGGATGAATATCTATTTGGAAAACAATTAACCTGATGGCCAAGTTGGCTTTTCGAAGATGGTCAATCCTTTGGTTGGCTTCATTGGCGAAATTTGATAAATAAGCAACTTCGTCCATTTGAGCATCATCAATATGATAGTTTACTCCGGCTTCAGGAATTTGAACATAAAATCTAATACTCTTGACTGCAAAAAATGATGGAAGCACATTTATAATCTGTTACTGTATTTCTGATACTGCAGCTAAAATTTGTACACTACAATTACTTCATTTTAGTAACATTTGTTCACAAAAATTACCTTCCAAAACTACCAATTTCAAGATCGATAATATTTGGGTTCCGTGTTTAGAATGTCGACAGTTCTATAGAGACGGTCAGGTCTAATATTAGGGCCAACTGCAGGGCTAGGTCTTGGGTTAGGATTAGCGCAGGTGACCTTAATATTTATTTTTAACCCTAACAGACCAACCATCTTGGAATTGTTGTGTCATATCACAAAAGTCCGTAACTCAATGCGCATGTGTCCAAGGAACATACATGCAACGGGTCATTCTTTGGATTTTATCGACGAATGTCGCCCCCAGGAAGAGCAACACAATGAGTAGTGGTTCGAGAGCTGTTCCCAGTCCAAACAATATGGCTGCTCTCAAGATAATCTGTTTATTTTTTTAGGGGTTTAATTTGTTCTCTTTTATCTTTTCACCTAAATATGAAACTATAAAGTTCATTACGGTCATATTCCAGCTTCTGAATGCCAATTTCAAATGTACGTCTCAAAAATACTTACTGTTTCCTGCAACATAATGATCTCCGCCAACTAGATACCACCTACCAGGAAAAACGTAATTTGTTTCGCCAACTTGTTGATACTCATGTTGTCCTGTATTTTACAATATCATTATATATTATTGTATCTCATATGATTTATATATCAAAAGATAAAAAAAAGACCTTTCTTGTGATTATTTCATTTATGAATAAAACTAAACAGATACTACAGATTCCGTATTTTAAAATATCTATGATTTTATCTCATTGGGATATTCTCAAATTTAGACCCCACCCCCATCGTTATGTTTATTCTGAACAATGGCATATGGTGTAGATACAAAAAGGCAATCTTCCCAAATATGGAACCCGAGACTCCTCTTATTATATTTATGAACAAAACAAAACACCTATTGAATATATTTAATCAAAATGGGCGAAGGGTTGACGGTTGAGGACGCTTGTTGCGGGAGCTGAATCAATATGATTCCTGGTTCTTGCTAAGTCTTATACTGTCATATAGAATTACTTCGATGCCCTGCAGTGTTAGCTGTAAGCCGACATTCACGTAACCAGACTTGGCACCAAAAAAGTTCTTGCTGCATCTTAATTGTAAGACTACCACTCCCATCAGTCGGGCTAATCAGGATTTTCCGGCATGGTTTCCTCCTTGTCAGTGGTACAGGACATAGACCGTGCCAAGGGACAGTGTATAGTCATTCGGATGGGACGAAAAATCCGAGGTCCCGTGAACACATTGCCGTGCACGTAAAATATCCCTTGGCAGTTGGAATTTGATAAAAGAGTAGGCATCTTTCCTTGCCAAATCTCCCTCATAGCGCACCGTATGGCGTATACCGGTCTTCATTATCCCAGTCGGTGCATAGCCCTCTATCTATATACGGCTTTGAATCGGAGCAGAATATGACGTTAAATCCAATTTCATTTCCCGCCACACAGTTTCTGTAAATACATTTATCTAAAACAAAATAAGCTATTGGAATAGAAATGGGAATCTTATTTACCATTGTTATGAAGAATATCGATCTGGCCCTGAACATTATGATACCATTTTCCATTTGCGGTATTGTCGATTTTTACCCACACTTTAAAGTAATAATAATGTCCACCAGAAACATGAACTTCTTGAGACGCTCCAGAAAAGTCATGATGTCTAAATAGATGAAATGTAAATTTGAAATAGTATTTTTTAAACAAATATATAAATCCAGCCTAATCTATTACGTCTCATGAGAAACGGTTTTAATCGGTCAGCAGCTTTATGGTCTTCATATAATAAAATGAAATGAAATGTTGTTTAACGTCCTACGCTTCTGCACCTAACCTGGGCTAATTGAAGACGGGCATATGCCATACAGTGTGCTATGAGGGAAATTTTGCCCGGGCAGCGGCGCTACGGCCTACTCTTATATCGAATTCCAACTGCCAAGGGATCTTTTACGTGCACGCCAATGTGTACACGGGACCTCGGTTTTTCGTCCCATCCGAACGATTAGGCAACTGTCCTTGTCAGGCCCTCCGTTCTGCATCACTGACAAGGGGAAACCACGCCGGAAAATCGAGATGAACTTTCTCGGCCAATGCAGGGATCGAACACCCGACCTCCAGGCTAGCGAGCCAGCACCTTACCCACTTAGCCACGTGATCCCCGTCATATAATAAAACAGAAGATAAAATTGCTTAACATTAATAATGCGCCTCAATGTATAAAATATTATCTGTAAACATACTTCTATGGATATCGATGGATAAAATACGTGCGGGGGGGGGGGGATATGGTTAACACGTGGGCGTTGGATCAGAAGGTCTGCCATTGAGTCAAGGGCCGTGATGTCAATTCCCCGCTTGTATGTGACAAGGGGTGTGGTAGCCTGTCCAACCCCATGGGTTTTCCCCTGGTCCCCTGGTGTCAAAATAACATTGCTTGTGTCGAGTGGACATTAACGCCCACTCTATTTCAGTCTTAAATTGGATAGTAGTGTGATTCTCAATAATCCACAAACAAATTCTTGGTATGGCGATGGGTAACAATGCGTCACCACAATTAAGGAATATAAACAATCGGATTTCTTCAGGAAAAATTATACTCAATTATAGAAATTGACCATGGCGTGGATTACAGGTTATATTTAGAAAACCAGTTGAAACGATTACTAGACGATGTATTTTGTATTTGGAATGCTCGACGAATTGGCAACGCAACATTTCAGATTTGCAACAAATAATGAATAATTTAGATCCAGATATCAAATTCACAATTGAAACGAACGATCTGCCAATCTCATTTTTCGTGATCAAATAAGTTCTAAAACCGGCAATGAAATTAAATTTGGGTTTGTTTCACATATTATCTACCTTATCAAAGCCTACCACGTTTTGTTATCTCAAGGCCGTAAAATATACACCTGTCACCGTTTAAATATTGTAAACTCATTTAAAGGGACTATCCCTTATTTGAACAGAGTCTCAAAACAAAAGTCTGAGAATGTATGAAATTTAAACGCCAAAATATAGAGGGATGGTGTATTGACCGTATCTCAAAATTTCAGCTCAAAATATTAAGTCGTTTGGACCTGACCGTCAAAACTGCTTATCCGGACACGTAACCCTTTTAAGATTTCGGGTCAATTTTTTCGTTGGGAGACCTGATAATTGATTCCCGTTCATTGAGAGGTCTATACAGTGAATGACCCAAATGCTGTACTTGATAATGAAAGGTAAATTTCACCTACACATTATTTATATACAAAAAATGTCTGGTTTTATCTAGACACCGCATAATACAGCTTGGGACACCGGTCTCCATTTCCAGATGAAGACTGACAGGTTTCAGTTATTTGAAAACTTATCACAAATATTGAGTTAGTTTTTCGGCCCTTAGGTAGAGGATTTTAAGGGATTTTAAAACAAAATTAAACAGTTTTATTCTTCAAAATATTATCGGGATTAGCCCTTTAAAATGAACACCCGTTGGTATGTGGACATGTGTAATTAATGCCCGTTGGCAGCTAGAAGGGATGTGACTTCAACCGGAAGGCCACTACTGTCGTTTCTCCATCGCACTGTGCAGTTAACGTGTCGAGTATTTGCAAGGATCAAATACCCACTGTCAGATGAAATTGGGATATCTTCAGAGCAATAGCCCCCCCACCCCCCAATAACCACACACACACACACACCCCTCACAGTGTTATATCCCATGAGAATACTTTATGTTCCAGAAATGATGAAATGCTAATTTGAGTACACGTACCGTCCAGCAACATGGTAACTATGGGAACCACTTCGCTTGTCTGAAGACAGTGATCCACTGCAATCTGAGCAGGTCCAACTATTGGTGCTTTCAAGTCCAGGGTTTTGAAACAGATTTTGTCCTGCCAAGATACCTGGAAGAATCAGGAGACCAAGCAACATATTGCCTCGGACATCCATGTTGACGAACTGTGCCTGCACAATTGACTGGACCTTTAAATACGTCAAGATAAAGCTGATAAGAACAAAAGGTCGGGCATTAGTTTTAATCCAGTGAACCCAGTGACGTAAGTGGGTCGAATGCGTTTTCACAGAACTATCTACCCATTTCGAGGATTGGTGCCTGCGGTAGTGAGTAAACACAATTTCATTTATCGATAGTTGGGGACCCGGTAACTTTGATTATGTTTATGCGAGACTGGTTTCAATACAATACCTGTTCTACAACGGTTACGAAGAGTGGTAACCAATTGGAATGGTTAATATACTTCGAACATTGATTCTATATCTTTTGATACAATAACGTCAATGCAAATATCGGACCCAAAACTACATATTGCAAGATATTGGGTTGAGAATGATAAAAAGTCTACAAAAGATGTATTGTGTCACCTTTGGATCTCTTTGAATAGGAAAAACCCAAAACTATATAACAAAGCGCATTATTAGTGAGCTACATAAACAAGCACCATTGTCGCTAATAGTGTGATCATTATGTCAGCCTAAACTCATTAATTTTCGATCAACAGGTATATTTTGATCAAAGATTTATTTAACAAATTAAATTGTCTTTGTATAGCCAGTCACAAACTGTATCGCATCGGTGATAATCAACTTTTCAATGAGGATATCTGTAGACTTCTTTCGTTGAACTGTGAGTGTTAAATAGATAATCCGTTTTATTGCAATACGTTTCTCAAACTGAAGGTTTGTTGCGAAACCGACACCAGAATAAGCAAGTGGGTAGGGTATAGTGGAGTATATGTCTTCGGGGAACTATTTTGTTGAAAACATTGACCAGAGAAGAGAATGTGATAAACCCATCATCTCCCTAAACCCTTGTTGACATCCCTGGCATTAGGTTGTGATTTTCCAATACAATTACTATGTATGTTGCCATCGGGACATTTAATCATGCTAAATGAAGTAATTATCACATTTGTTAAAATATTTTATTTTTCATTTATTATCCAATCAACACTTGGTCAACGTGCGGATTTGAACCTGAAAGAAATAAAAATCTTTTTTTAATTTTATGTTATTACACAAGTTGTACCTTTCAAAAACAAAACCATTCTTAATCAAAGTAGTGCGTTATGTGTGAGTGGGGGGGGCGCGTTTATGAATAATCTACCTGTCTGTGACTAATTGAGAATCATGGCTAATTTTTTCAGAGCATTGATAATACCCATCTGGTGTATACTTAGACTATTGCCATTATTTCCTGACTGTACCATTATTTCCCGAATGTAAATGAAATGAAATGAAAGGGAGTTTAACGGAATACTGTTCTGCTCCGAACTGGGCTAATGAAGACGGGCATACGCCATACAGTGTGCTATGAGGGAAATTTTGCCCGGACAGCGGCACTACGGTCTACTCTTATATCGAATTCCAACTGTCGGGGGATTTTTTACTTGCACGCCAATGTGTACACGGGACCTCGGTTTTTGTCCCATGCGAACGACTAGACAGCTGCCCGTGTGGGGCCCTCCCTCCTGCATCACTGCCAAGGGGGAACCACTCCGGAATTATGGATGAACTTTCTCGGACAATGCAGAGATCGAACACCCAACCTCCAAGCTAGCGAGCCGTCCTACCCACTTAGCCACCGTGTGACCCCCCCCCCCCCCCACGACTGTAAAGATATCGGTACGAATAACTGTATCAATATGATGTTCGAGAAATTGATAAGATCCTTTAAAAGCTGTGCTGTTGACTGGCCTTCTTTGACTTATGTGATTTGATTTTTCAGATCATACCTAACACCTACCTGTACCACTGAGGTTTATTTTTAAACTATTACCACCTTCGCCCACTGTAAAATTCTCAGTATGAATAATTTTACTATTATGGTGTACCAGCAATTTATAAGATCCTTTGAAAGCTCTGGTGTTGACTGGGTGGTCATGGCTTATTCTATGTAATTCGTTGGTTCTCCAAGTATGCTTCAAGAGTTCTCGTATTTTGATACCAGCTGCATTGGGCTGCAAAATATTAAGCATATTCACATGTTTCAATAACACTAGAAAGAGAAGGAGAGGAGTGGAATTTTGAAATGTTATTCGTTGGATCTCTAGGCGTGCCTGAGCAGTTCCCGTATTTTGATGCCGGCTGCAAAATGTTAAATTTTAAGCATATTCCAGTTTTACATTCCTACTAGTAAGAGGAAGCGGGGGTGGAGTGTTGGTCGAAGCAAATGGTTTGACTCTCTTTAAACCATCTTGACGGAATGTAACAAAGGACCAGAAAGGTGGAAAGACTAGACCGTTGGAAAGAAAAGAACAATTCTAGACACTGATGACTTTATTTAAGATTAGAATTCTTTCTAAATTTTTATGAGACCAATAAAATGAAATGTCCTACTTGTCTGTACCGACTGGGCTAATGGTGTCGGTGAGACCTATTCATGCACAAGACTACACTGGTTATTTTGCATAGCTTGAAATCTTTTACAGGCTAGAACACGTAAAACGATGATGGGTATAATCATCTAGACACTTGCTATTCATTACGAATCAGATACAAAAGACGCATTAAAACAACTGGAATAAAATAGGTACGTTAATCTTTGAATCAGAGATTGAACATAGTATAACACAAGACAATGGCTATCACCATACACAAGACGTACCGTAACGTTGACGCCATTGGCAAGAGCTGCCTGTGGACGCCAATGACGACCATCCCAGTAGTGCCAGATCATAACGCCTTTAACGGCCGGGTGACTAAAGTAAAGTGATAACAAATCAGTGTATTTTTGAGCTTTTTTATATTGATCTGGTTCATTTATATCCAATTCTGTAATCCATATTGGATATCCCAGTGCAGCCACTTCGTCCAATCGACGCTGTAAACAGAACATTGATCTTGTTAAATGACTGGTCATCCGGGCTATATTGCCACAGACATATGATGATATTTACGAGACAGGTTAAACCTTTATCACAAGAACATATTTATACAAATAAATAAAAACGATCAACGCGGATAGTATGTTAAATTTAAACCAAACTGTTAGAATTAAGTATAGCTTATGACATATAGATCCCTGGTTTGTACAGGGAGATGAAGCAACAATCGGGTGTCAAGGTTTGACAAGATGCCATACTATTTAGTAGAAAAAAGTCAATATAACCTTTGCTTCAGGAATATGACTTAATATATCATACAATACACAATCAACAAATATAAAAATGGATTGTAGGGAAGTATTCCAACAGTGTTTCATAAGGAACATTGTAAAAAACGAAAAAAATATCAAATAAATTGTCGGCTAATATGTGAGAAATGTTATTCACCAAATAACTGAGGCACTTTTGGACTCTTTCATTTAATTAAATAACTATACTGTGATGTGGTTTTCCAATGTTAACATGGCTATCTGTTCAAACTTGGTCATGGCGTGTTCAAGGCTGTCAACAAAATGCATGCAGATAGTTAATTCACCAATAGAGCAAGAGAGAAACGGGGTTTAACGTCCATTGGACACAAAAGCGTTAGACCACACAGTCAGCTACTTCCCCCCGCAATCACCAATCAATATTACCTTATTTATTTCTAGATCAACGTCTGGACCAAAATGGCTCTGTATACCAATACCACCAACTGGTATACCAGAATCTTTATACCACTTGATTCGATCCACATACGACTGTAAGTAAAAGTAATTGTAGAATTTCCAATTTAACATCTACGATGAAGTAAGTAACACTGCTAAATGACAACATGCGATAACGATTGACAATAAAGTGGTAATTGTATATTATTATTTGTGACAATATCCTTACCATTGTTGCTTTACTAGACGATACCACATTATAGTCATTCAAATAACAAGCCGTAGTTGTATCCAGTCTGTGAGTTTCATTAAACATCCACTGTGTTATATATTTATCATGGAAGATATCTTCATACAGATGATTGTGAATATTTTCATTGTTAACATCCCAGTGTTGAAACCTTTAGTTAATAGAACGTTAAAATGATATAAAAAAAACAATTTTTGTATAGTGAATAAAGGTAAACGGAAATAAAAATAGAAGTTTAACACTCCCCAATTTGGGCACCATATTTGGACATTTGCATCTTCAGGAAACTTGGGCGTGTATAATAGCCTGGTATAACGATGTGGTTAAAATCAATGTTATTCAAACCTTCTTGTTTAAAACGAACCCGCGAGCTATTAACACATTTATATGTAAAACAACATTTAGTTACTAATCGGGCGGAGGGGCTAACAAGAACATTTGTCTAGTCGTTCGGATGGGACAAAAAACCGAGGTTCCGTGTTCACTTTGGCGTGCACGTAAAAGATCCCTTGACAGTTGAAATTCGTTATTAGAGTAGGCCGTAGTGCCTTTGTCTGGGCAAAATTTCCCTCATAGCGCACACTGTATGGCGTATGCCCGTCTTCATTAGCCCAGTTCGTAGCAAAACAATAGGACGTTAAACCCCATTTCATTTCATTTCATAGTTACTAATCTTCAATTCTGAATGACCATCTGTATCGAAATGTTAATATTAGCCGTGTAATTTTGTTGTGTTTTCTTTGCATGATTTGTTGAATAATCACCCACAATTTAAATATGCTTAAGGCAACTTAGTAATGTCGCGTATAGTCTGAACACTGTTGAACGCGAGTCTTCGTCACATGAACCATGTCTCGGGAGACATGCCAACCTCCTATAGATTCCACGGGGCGGATGAAGTTGTTTCGTATTGCTCTCGCAAATCCTCAAATAGAATGCAAACAATCGTGTTCTTTTGACAAATACGTACATTTTGATTGAGTGTAAGCATCTCGTGGAAGGGTGTTAAGTCGCATTTAGATACACGGATTTTCTTTTAAAAAAAAGAAACGCGTATTTATTATATATATTTTTTGGTATGTATATGTACCATGTTCATTTTAACACTTTGAATATTGTGATATTTGCTTTAA